CCCCGCCCACCATCTCGTCTCTCGGAGCAGGTCACCTCAACAACCGGTTGGATCTTTCTGCATAGCAGCGCTGCGTGTATCTGCATTCCTTCGACAGAAAGTTCTGCGTCGCTATTTCCTAATGTCGCAGCTTTTAAAAGGAAGGGTCGCTGCCTATAGTGCACGACTCTTTTAGGTTAACATGTGGAAATGCGCTCATTGTAGATGACAGCCGTAAAAAATATTTTCTTCAAAAGCAAACGTACTGCATGTTCACGTTGAATAAAACTTTGATAAAGATTTGCATGGAGGGATGTGAACGTGTGGCATGTGCAATGCAGTTTTAAACGAGGTATGGCAATAATAATAATAATAATAATAATAATAATAATAATAATAATAATAATAATAATAATAAGTTACGTCCCGCGACGTCAGCGTCCGCACTTGCACTATACATGCGCAACTTCTTTCCTCTGCTACGCTTCCCCTCTCTGTTCTTTAGGCATTCCTCCCCGCGGTGTTTACATCCCCGCCGTGCTCCCGACCGGGTTGCAGAAATTAGGTGCCTTTTCTCATCTTCTAACCACTACCACCACCACCAGCATTCTATTATTATTAGTAGTAGTAGTATTATTATTATTATTCGATCATAGTGTAGTGCCTTCCGAAGTTCAACGCGATAGCAACATCCTGTCCCTTCAAATACTCAGTGTATGAAACTTTTTCGAATTTGCTATGCACCCACTACGCGGCCAAATAGGCACAGTAGCGTGTGTGCCTTTTGTAGTGGGGTACCGGCTTTCAACCAGGGAGCCATTATGATAATCACACATTCTGACGCCCGCTGGCAATGGACGCTTGTGCCACACATTACTACTGCAATATTTCATCTGCATTTCCAAGCAGAGAAAAATCTTTTCGCTGTTTTCACAAGCAGATGCGGGGGCCGTGTGGTAGAACATCCGCTTGCCACGCAAACTATCCAGGTTCGATTTCCACTTGGACCCGCCCAACCGCAGTTCAATACCCACTCTTCTACAGGAGTTTTATCATTTATTTGTTTTATTTGCATCGTTCTCGATTTTTTGGTCACGCATAAGTTGATAATTTTTCACTCACAGCCAACGACCCCGACGCCGGAATTTCTGCGAAACGAGCTCCTTAACGATATCGCGTTAATAATAATAATAATAATAATAATAATAATAATAATAATAATAATAGGCCCCGTATCTGCGTGCTTGACTGCAAGAACGTTGAAAGACGATCGTCGTTTGTCTGGAAAAGTTGCGTGACATATGGACGCCGTACGGCAGTAATGCCAAGAAACGAAAGTTTTCTAGATCGCAGAGCAGCCGGTAGGTGGAAGCACCACGTTGTTTTAGCGAAGCGTAAGAAACACCCGCTCTTTTATTCATCGGGCTCTTGTTGTGATCTGAATACACCTTCACTGTAATGTAATAAGGGCCCCCAAACACCATTACTGTCACCAGAGTCCTGACAGCGAGCATAAAGTAGCTGCTTACGAATGACTATAAGTAGGTGTTTGGTGGAAGCAAAGGATAACAGCTGTGACCGGTGGTATCTGTTTATATTGTGTAGCAATAACTATATATGCTACTGCTTCACACTTCTGTAGACCTGCATTGGTCTACAATTAAGCCGCCGTCGACACTTCCGTGCAACAGGTGTCAGGCCTGGCCGACCATCCGACTTTGACCTCTGCATTCGTGAACCTCACCACCATTCTCTACTGGACTCCATACACGAAGAAAACCTGTAGGTGTATTTTTGAATAGGAGGGAAGGAAGGAAGCAACAAAGGGGGGAAGGCAGGGAGGTTAGCCAGGCAGACATCCGGTTGGCTATACCCTACACTAGGGGATTAGGGAGGGGACAAGAAAGATGAGAAAGAGGGAAGAGAAGGGAAAAAAGTAAAAGGGAAAAGGCTGACAGTAATTTCACTGCAGCGTGTACAACTCCACCGCAACTCAGAGGCGTTCACACAAAGCCGTCGTCCTCAAGAAACACAAGAGGGCTTTCACTGCCTTGTGGGCTGTCGAGGGATGTGGACGGTGCTGTAATAGCACCTGCACAGAAAGAGGCCGATCATCCAGTCGCCGCAATGCGTTGGCAAATACTTGTCTGTCTGAGGCAAATCGAGGATAGTGGCACAGCAGGTGTTCGATACTTTTATCGCTGCCGCAAACATCGCATGCCACACTGTCAGTCATTCCGATTAACGTGGTATAAGCTTTCGTGAAAGCAACTCTCAGCCAAAGGCGAAAGAAAAGCGAAGCTTCACGTTGATGTAGGCCGGGTGGAGGCCGGAGTTGTAGTGAAGGGTCAAGTTCATGTAGTTTGATACGCCGGTGTGTTCCACTCAGTCAGTGTGAGACTGCGGATCAGTTGACAAATCTGCCTTGCGGCACAATAAAAAAGAAAATATTGTGCCTGGTGGCAGACTTACGAAATTAAAAAAAAATGAAGTAGCACATTTCATAATACTCACTTGTTGATGTTGCGCCCAAATATGCATAACATTTGCTTTTTGATTGATTGATTAATATGTGGGGTTTAACGTCCGAAAACCACCATATGATTATGAGAGACGCCGTAGCGGAGGGCTTCGGTAATTTAGACCTCCTGGGGTTCTTTAACGTGTACCCTGATTTGAGCACACGGGCCTACAGCATTTTCGCCTCCATCGGAAATGCAGCCGCCGCAGCCGGGATTCGATTCCGCGACCTGCGGGTCAGCGCAAAGGCCTGGTCTGGCAACCAACGCATTCCTCCTCTCTGGCATGCTGGCGACTGCTTGGAGTGTGTGTGTTGGTGCTGGTATGTGTGGCGTTATCGAGCAATTTGCCGTGTATTAAGCCAACCTGCGAATTGTGTTTGTCTCCATTGCTGTGACGGTCAAGAATTCGTCATCAGGGAACCACTGCGCTGTTTTTGGTGCAGTAACAACTACAGAAAAAAGAAGCTGCTGTCGGAAGAAATATGTCATGTGCATCACCAGACGCGGAGTTTTTGTGGCTGTAGACTCTTCAAGTTGCATAGTTTTCCTGTTGACGAGGAGCAGCGGCATCTATGGCTTGCAAATATAAACAGGAAAATGTTTGTACCTTCCGCGGGTACCCGCTTATGTTCAGAGCACTTCTCAGCGGAACGAACCGCAACGACTTCGATACCGATGCTCGATCTCGGCTATGAACGGAAGGTAGGCAGCCAACAGCTATTCCAACGATGAAAATATTTCCCCGATAAACAGCCACACGTAACATTTCTCTCTATCGCAGGTTAATGTAACGTGGCACCGAGAGTCACTCAAATATCGCGATTTAAAAAAGTGAGCTGAAAAGGGGACGCACAGTCACGTCAGCGTCGTTTGATGTAAGAGCTGTATCTAAATGCTCATCTGTAAAAACAAACGAGTGAGTAACATACGGTCACTCCTTGAGAGTTGAGAAACAATTTGGACAGCAGTCAGTGCGCATTTAACAAAAACCGTCAGTGCCACAAAATAAAGACGCACCACTACACTCCAACGCATGGATTCACGCAAGAGCGGTAGCCTATGCGACGGCGTGGCATAAAGAAATCTCGTTAGAAAAGTGGATGACTACAGCTCAAGAAATATGCCCACTATGCTCTTGAAGTGCTGTTGGTTAATCTGGAGAAGAAAGACCTGAAAATACTGCGCATTCTTCGAGCAGAACGTTGGTGCATCATGTTACGCCTGCGAGTCCACATCGAACGTCAATGCCTCTGAAAAAGGCAATCTGGGTCAAGGCCAGCAGTCGAGCCCGCCTGACGCGATCAACTCAACGACGTCATCAAGCGGCGGCGCCGGTCTGTCACGCAATGCACCGCGAGCTCCCTCAGCCCGCGAGCCCGTTGAAGCAATCGGCGCCTTCCAGTCTGGTGCGTCTTACGCAATGCGTGGCAACATACCTCGTCCTAGGTGCAACCACGCGCAGCGGCGGGCCTCACTGGAGGATTCCGACATCACGGCCAGCGGCGCTTCTGGTTGGACATTTGGTTACTCAAAGGATCCACCCGGTGCCTATAAAAAAAAACCCTGCGGCGCATCGCCAGCAGTAGACCTAAGTGTCAGAGGAGACATCTCGTTGGTTCGAGCCCTTTCGCAGTCGGCGCGCCCGGTGTCCTTGGCAGCGGCGAGTTTCGTGGCGCCCTTCGTAACCTCGTCGGCGGTGTGCCTCGTAACAATCAATAGAGGTCGACTCGTTCGCGGCACTGTATAATAAAACAATTGACCCTCAACGACTTCAACCTTGTCAGCATCTCTCATACACTCATTTTCTAAAGAACCTGCATCCCTTCAGTCAAAATTCACCGCGTAAAAACTGAAACGGAACGATAAAACCGCAGCCGCACTCCTACCTTTATATGCAAACAGCGAGCTTCCCACATGCCAGATGGGTTGCCAGACCAGAAAAGGGCCGCCCGCTAGCAATATGGCGCACCCTCGAAAAAAAAACGTCTACAGACCACCACGGCGGGGCCTACACCACGCATCCTCGTGCTTCTGAGTGCGCAGTTTGGCGGATTGCGCAACGATGGTCTTTGTCAACAAGCCAGCTGTGCATCTGACGTTATCAAGGCTTAGCTTGCTTTCGTTAAAACGAAATTTTCATCTCACTGAGCCTGGTATAGCAAAGATATTCGAATTTACTGCAAGTGTCAAACTTCGACTTCATTCACGGTTTTTTCATTCAGTATATGTAAATCTGTAAATTGTCGGAGGGCTCTTTCTAGCTTCACTACAAATAAACTCAACCACATCTGTTGTACGTGTTCCTTCCACGTCATTTCACATCTGATGTTCATGCAAATGAAGTGTGTTTTGTCATTCTTGTTAACGTAAGTCTAGCAAGAAACTGTTGCGTTCGAATTCTATTGATGCTAAGCGTCTGTGATGTAAAACAGCAATAGCAACAAAGCAATCACAATTATACGGTGGTAACGACAGTTTACCCGTTTCATTTTTGTGCAGGGTTTGCTATGGCACGTACAGCCCCATCTACGGCCTTCATCTAATGCACATCGGAAAACTGTACAACGCTTCCGGAGACAATGCGAGCGCAGAGAACTTCTTACAAATGGTAAACTGCCAATCTGTAAAGTCAGTAACAACCTGAAGAATAAGTACAAGCTCCGCCCGCAAAACCTCGGTTTGCCTGTCAATCACCTATGTAAGAAAGTCGTGCTAGCTGGTTTCCTTTTGGGCCAAGAGTACTTTATGGGGGAGGGGGGCTACTAAAATTACTACGCATGCCGAAAAATAAAGGTTTGTCCTTCCTAAACAAATGTATGAACTTTGTATGAGCGGAGATGTCAGAATTTGTTATTAAGCTTGCCTGGACGTTGACGTTTCAGTCTTAAAACCAGCAACACGAATATGTGTCTGTACGGTACACCAACTACCTGAATCACGCGAAGAGTGATTGATGTCACGGAAATGAGCAAAAGCGATCGGATGAAACCTTCACTCTGGATGGGACAGTGATGACTGTGGAAGCTTGTATTTATTCTTAGGTTGCAACCGACTTCGTGTGCCCTCGCTGCTTTCTATCCTCTGAGAACTGCGATAATTAGACTGTGCTTTCAATCGTTTATGCGGGGGCGGCAATCGAAAAAAGAAACCGCTGTGACAGCAACGAGTTTTACGGGGCGATTAGTCATACCGGAGAATGAGCTCGCGTAGATGGTCGAAAATTGAAGTTAAAATGTGTTTACGACACAGTGGCAACACGCATTCTCAAAAAGCCAGAGGGCGCAACTTTGGGCTTAACTAAAAGCAGAGCGAGCAGTGGTTGTCGCATTATGTTCTGACCCACCGTGGGCCAAATATATAGATTATTTATCTGCTGCGTAAAAAAAAGCCCCTATAGACTCCCGGACATGAAAATTTCACCACTTTCCGATAACTTTACTAACTTTACCTTTGCAGCGTATATTCAGCCTGGTAAATCGCACAGGCGACAAAGCCACCGCGTTAATGGGAGGCCTCCAACATTCGAAGTTCTACTACTGCCGGACAGCTTAAGTGTCACACCAATTAGTAATAACTGGTTGCGTTTGAGGGTCTAATCATCGGGTGAACGTGATGACAGCTCCCATTATCAGTGCCACGATATGATCGGCCTACAGTGCGGCCAGCCTAAACATCAGGTCGCTCACAGCTGTCAACTGGAAGCGCAGCAGATTTACAGGGGGCTTGTAGCCCCCTGTAAATGGCGAAGATCATTTATTATTCGCATCTGTATTTCTTCCCATCGTACACTTAAGGAGCCTACAACACTTTCTAAGTAAACATACAATACCTTTTGTAAAAAATTTCATTTTCTCATGAATCAACCGCCACAAGAACATTTAAAATCCGTCAGATACAAGTGATGACTGAAAAAAAGAAAAAATGCGCTACGATTGCTGCGGAAAACGAAATAAGGGAGGAGACAAAAAAGAAGTGGACAGTATTGCACTTGTACTGTCCACTTATTTTTTTGTCTCCTCCCTAACTTCGTTTTCCGCAGCAATTGTAGCGAAATATTTTCCAGTCATGAGAAACCGACAAGCCCAACACCTCACTTTGCTTATATACCAGTGAACTTGGAGACTTGTCACACGCTGTAATTTCTTTCTCTTTTCTCCCGTCTAGACGAACGCGCTTGATACTAAGTAGGGAGGAATGGCACGGGCGAAAGAAGTACGTCTAGCGCGCGTCACGACTTTGAGCACTTTTTTTTTTTCAGAACGTGTGGTTTACTTTCAGTGTGCGGGCTATGTGGGGTTTAACGTCCCAAAACCACCATATGATTATGAGAGACGCCGTAGTGAAGGGCTCCGGAAATTTCGACCACCTGGGGTTCTTTAACGTGCACCCAAATCTGAGCACACGGGCCTACAACATTTCCGCCTCCATCGTAAATGCAGCCGCCGCAGCCGGGATTCGAACCCTCGACCTGCGGGTCAGCAGCCGAGTACCTTAGCCACTAGACCACCGCGGCGGGGCGACCTGATTAACTAAGCAGCTTGCGGTGCTCAAATAAGCCAAACGGCCGTGAATTTCGGTATATGGCGCTGTAATTTTCGGTATACGGCATCATTTGTAGACAGAAGCGGGAACGATTTCTCTAGCTGACTGAGAATTAGTTGTAAATCTCAGGCGCGTGCCGCGGTGTAATGCTTGGCTCGTGTGTTCTCCGGAGTCTTGACCGGCGATCGGAAGCGTCTTCCGACCGTGCTGAAAAGGTATTGCAGGGCCCCCGTTAAGTCCAATATGCAGAAATGGCAGCATTACTGTTGGAAAGCGCAATTATGGGAAAGAGTTGGGAAAACCGCGATCCACGTTTATTTTGTGCTTTCATTTTTCTTTATTCCCCTTCTTTCAACAGGCAAGCTCAAGCATCTCGATCAGCCACGGCACGACACACGCCACTTATCGCGACCTTCAGCAGCTGCGAAAGATGAACCGCAGAGGCATTCCTGGTGGC